CCCCAAAACCCCAAAACCCCAAAATCCCAAAACCCCATAGATTATATAATTTATTGATGCAGAACCTACCAGAAAATGAAGAGAGTCTGACAAAGTCGCAGATAGCTAGAAGTAAGAGAAGGAGGGATATTTGATTAGCTATAATGAAGACAAGGAATAATAAGAGATTGTTCAGCTTCCAGACTGATCTAGAAATAGAAGTTGCAAGGTATTCTTTTTGAACTATTCACCCCAGGATTTTATATCCGTTTTCAGACATCTCAGTTTCTTAATTTTTAATTTTGTTTTGTAAAATTTTATAGAAAACCTTACTACCAAAGGAGGATTAAACAGCATGGGTGAGCCAACGCATCGACATCAGTAAGATTAATTCAAATCTTTAGGAAATAGATTGGGTGAGTGGGACATTTAAACCATTCGAAATGACTCACCTAAAAGATGCTAAACAAAGAGATCTCACCCAAACCAAGAAATTTATCAATAGTTTCAAACAAGTAAGATTTTAATTCTGCACCATTACTCATCCCCTTCCAATCTTTCCTTACCTACCCATTCTTCCCCTCCAAACAATATTTGGGGCATTGGTGCTGTTGGGGGGTTGCAGTTAAAGGAATGGTGGTCTGTGTAGAGGGTTTTGGGATTGATGGTTTTTAGGAAAGGTTTGACATAAAGTGTTAGTAGCTCTGTTTTGAGAATTAAAGGGGGATTTTGCAGTTTTATGTTATAATTTTTCTCCTCATTCTATTTAGAAAAAACCAGAAAACAAGCTATATCCCGAAAGTAAAAACAGTAATAACTTCAGAAAATAAACCTTCCTTCCAACCAGATTCAAAACCCCTCAAAAACCCTTCAAATAGCGTAAACCCTTTCCTAACACCCATTCAGACCCACGTTTCTTACTGGAACTTCAACACCAAAACTCAAAATCTCTCTAAACCCCTCAAAATCCCCTCCCAACACCAAAGACCCACCAAACTAACTACTCTCAAAAACAGCCGGCTCCTCCTCCACCTCTATTCCAAAAACCTTCGCTCAAAATACATCCAAAAAAATTCTTCGATTTTATTCAAGTCAAGAAGGTAACATCATTTGACTACCCCAAACCTATTCTATCGTATTTTGTGGTGTATATCGTGGAGTATACTCAATGATGCAGAATACCTTGTGTTAAAGCAAAGGTGCAAACTTATAAAACAGCGTACAAATTTGGGATATTTTTAAAGGGCAGTTTAATAGAGGTTATAGGAAATCCAATGAAAATTATTCAGGTTCTAAAGTAAACACAAGGCTAGGAGTGCAGAGATTTGGAATGTAAAGAGGTGTTTGGGTTTGAATTAACTTGGGATTGGAGTTAAGTGGCTTGTTAGGATGATTTGTGATAGAGGGGATTTCAGAAAATTTTATCGGGTTTGGGATTTTGAAGGAGATTGGTAGAGTGTAAAGGATGTTTATGATAGCCAAAATGTGAGTTTAGACTCTCATTTAAGTCAGAGAAAAGCTATGAGAATTTATCAAGGGACTTTATGGTTATGGAGAAATTGATAAACAATTTATCGAACCAAAATTTATCATATTGATAATTCTACTTTGAGCCTGTTTTATAAATATAAACATTTTGATATATTTATAGAACAACAGCAAAGGAAAAATCAGATATTCGAGTTAAAAACCAGAGATACTCGCAGAAAGAATTTTGCCAAACAAGTCAAGTCAGACCAATTAAAGTTATATTTGGTGATATTTTTGTAGGTTATTGGTGAAAATTCCAGAGAAAATACACCTCATAAAATTGAAGTATACACTAAAAGCAGTATGGCTAAATTAAAATGTTAGGAAATCTTCCAGAAGATAAAACAACCCAAGGTGAAATGTCTAGAACTGTATACCAAAGTATAGATTTTCGAGATGGTAATCTTACAAGGATCTAGAAGTAATCTAGGTTATTTCAAAATTAAGAAGAGGAAAAATCATTCAAGAGATATGAAAAGTCATTATAAAACATTTGTAAGAACTCAATGGAATGTCTAGAACCAAAGAACTAAGACTAATCATAAAACTCATCGAGCTGATAGGCTGGCCTCTCAAGTATGACCAATTGTGCCAATTTAGAACCACATCTTGTTCCTAAAAGACAACCAAGAATATAAGGATATGACAAGTAAATCTCAACTGAACGCCAAAGTGAAGTTAAAGGGTAGCTTGAGGAAGCGGAAATAAAACTTTGATTCTTCATGGTGAACATATTCAACCACGTGGGAACCACTCAGGATCAATATTACACACCTGTAAATTTCATCCTGATTCACAACTTTGCTACTTTTGGGGAATAACTTGCAATAGATGATTCCAAGATAGATCCAGTAATGTGATATAAAGACAGACAGACTAATATTTCCCCGAGCAACGCAAGCTTTTCTTCAAATGAGCGTGAAAGGCTGAGGGCCTCACAGAACAAATTCTTTACCTGTCCTTGTAAGTAGTCTGAGAGATCTCTTTTAGTGGAAAGAGTAGAAATTATAGTCAGAAATTCCTCAAAATGGAGTAAAAACAAATAAACAAGAAGAAAAGCTCCTATTTCAATACAATTTGTGCAACCTGGGGTTTTGGGGTTTTGGGGTTTTGGGGTTTTGGGGTTTTGGGGTTTTGGGG